TTTACATGTTCTCCTCCCACAAGACGCACTTTTGCGTGTAAACGCCCCATATTGCATATTCATTGCAGAAAAAGTAGTAAATGGATAAGAGGCGCTATTTAGCACGTTTTAAAGACCAAATACTTTTAGCACGCTGTTGATAGATCAGTTTGTACATTTTTTAGCGTGCGCAGTGAAATAGCTCACGTTTTTATACACGCAAACCTTTGATAGATCCGGCCCAAATAGTTTTATAAAACATTTTTAAAAATGCATGTTAAGATTGAACTGCCTCACTGATGTTTTATCTATTGTTAGTACCTTGATTTTGACATGACCTGTTATAAAGTTGATGCCGTACAAATGAACTGAACTGCATTTATATTGATTTCTAATCTATCCACCTTTACTTAAATGAGACTCTTTTTATAAATTTCTTTTTACTTAGCACTTCAGTTTAATAGTTTAACTGAAGTATTTAAGCTTTTTTCTGTGACTTTGTGTTTTATTTTTTGTCTAGAAAAGTCAATTATTTTTATTCAGTACCTACTGTTCGGTTGTACTGCTTCTTAACAGGATGGTCTTTATAGGACAATAACTTGAAAGATCTGTCCTTATTAACAGTCAATCATAGCCAGACTTGTAGCATGAAACCATCAACAAGCTTCAGGGATAAATGTGGCTAAATATTTAACCAATCCTTTTAACAAAATTGGTAGCTTAATTAAATTGGTCGGTTAGGTTGATTAGTTTCTCTGAATGGCCCTAATCTGCGTATGTGAACGGTTGCCCGCTCTTTGTCTCTGTTGTCTTGATTGACTGGGGACCTCTCCAGGGTGTATCCTGTCTGTTATCCAGTCATCTTTTGAAATTGAAACCCTACAACTATTGATTGATAACCGACGAATAATATGGACAGAGGGATTCAGTGAATGGATACAAAATAGGCACACTTTCCATTGCTGGCAATGCATGCTTCTATATTTGCATCGAATTTAAAAGATACGGAATGGCAAAGCATCTCTAAACTTTATTTTCCCAGATTTCTTTATCTTTGCTTACCCACCCAAAATTTATTTTTGTATTTGTCCCATATAGATGTCTGAACTTTTAACTTCTGTATAAGAATGAAATAACATACATGTTGTCAGATCCATTTAATGGGAGGTGAAGTATCTGTGAACAGTATTCCATTCTTTAACCATATGGTTTAAAGTTATTTCACCCTGTGAAGCTGCTGGGGGGACTTTCCATTTGGATGTGGGTGCATTTATGGGGTTGAAGCACAGGTCAAACATTGTTGTTAAACAATATGACATTTCCTCTAATGAAGGGAGTCTTGAATCTGAAGCTTTGTAATGTATTCACTCATGTGAGGTTTGGGTGTAGCTGCCCAGCCATAAAAACAAAAACAAAAAAACAATTTCCCAAATGTCTCCGTATTGCTCTTGAACTGAAAGACATCTGAAGCGTAAAGACGAGACACCATGTGTCACAGCATCCCCTGACCTTGTTCTGTGTTTATATGTGAATTTCAAGTAGTTGTCTTTCCAAACAAGCTGTACCATAAATAATTGTATGTGCTCTTTTTTTTTATTCCTTTTTGTTTAAAAACTGTCTCAGAGCTCATTGGTGCACAATTTCTTTCTAGGCCAAGCCACCTATGGAGCTAATTTACCATTACCTTATCTAACATAGAAAGTATTTATGGATTCATGCTTCTATGTTACTTTTGTCAACCTCGGTCTCCTTCAATCCCCAATCAGCCTTCGCAGAAGGCAGCTCAAATCGAGCCTTGTGCTGGAGGTTTCTTCCTGTTAAAAGGGAGTTTTTGCTCCCCACAATTCTTGCATGCTTGCTGCCTAGATGTCTAAAGTTGTAAAATGGTCCTTCAGGAGGAGCAAATCCTACAAATGGAAAAAACAAATTCTAATTACTTAGAATTTGTTTTGCCATTATGACTTTATGATCTGACCAAAGTACCTCTGTGAAGTCCACTGACATGACATGTGTTGTCAAATGGCATTATTTAGAAAAAAAAAAAATCAAATCACTTGCTTTAAAGAGTAGCTTTCAGTCAAAGCTTAAAGTCATATGAAAACGGCTGTTCCAACCGTTTCATTTCCTAATTCTCCCGAGTAGTGACTGACTTTACACGAGTGAAAAAAGTGAATGTAATTGGTCGTTTATCAAGGGGGCGGGGTTGTTGTGTTGCGGAAGGTTCACAAGCAAGTTTGATTGTGGCCAAATTCTTAGAAGCATCTTGCTAACCAGTTAGCAACTTAGTGCTAGTAGGTTCCCACGGGAAATTACATTGGGACTAAGTAGCACTAAATTGGTAACTTAGAAACGACACTGTCAAGGAACGCTGCCAGTTCTGTTAGCTCTACGCCTGCCGAAGACACAGACGTCCATCCCAGTGAACACTGGGATGGAACTCAATGGTAAAGTAAATTATTCTTATTTCTTATTTCAACCATTCAACCGACAGAAAAAATTTGATTGACAGATGACCATTGATATATGATTGGCCGGATTTAGGTGTACAAGCTGACGTATAACTAACTGGCCTGCATAAAATAACGGAGAAAAAAACAACAACACAGGTTTTAAGACAGGATTTTTTTATATATAGAAATGTTCTAACTTTTGGGACAACATTGTCTGATAAAGAGCACATTTATATACATGTTTAAGCCAGAATAATTTGACATTTAAATATGACTTCCCTACGACTTTAACTAAAATGCACTGAATCAATTTAACCCTTAAAATCATCATTTAGAACTGATTCAAAACCTATTCTGAGGTTAATTAAATGTGAACTCATTTCTATTAACCCCCATAGAAAAGATATTTTAGTCACCTTATGATAGTTGGATATACCACTACATATAGACAAACCAAACAACAAAAAAGATGTTAGATATGTCATTAATATTGGTTCCAGTTTCTCCCTCGGATCAGCCTTCAATTCCCCATCCCCACTAGTGCTGACTAACTGGCAGAGATCTCAATCGGCTCACAGATAGCAACGGCGATCCTTTCAGCACTTCTCAGTTGCTTTGTGTGTTTCAATGTGCATGTGTGGGCGGGACTAAAGGAAAGCTCCCCTCCGCCACAGCAACGTGCAGGAGGGGGGGTTCAAAGCATCCTCGCTGATAAGGTTTTCTTTTACTTATCTCTCCTCGTCCTGTGGCTGAAGCAGAGGTAGACGGGAGGGATCCTGAGGTAGCACGGTGGGTTCGCCTTTCTTTTTTCATTATTTTTGTGCTATGTGTGTGCATTTAGCCAAGGATTAGAAAAGAAATAATCACAAGCGGATTGTGGACGGTCCACCCTTATGCAGAGGGGCTTATGTCCAATCCGGTGCTGAAGTCAGAAAAAGTGTGCAGGAGGATTCCGATAGGCTTTCATACTGAAGATGGATTTGGCACATTCGGGATAATAAAATGAACGACCGATTGATGAGTTATTACTCAACGTGTCTGTGCATCAGGGAATGTCACCAGAGAACAATTGACTTTAGCTTAAGCTCTGGTTAAACGTGGTATCCTCTCCTAATTGGATAGGAAGGCTTTAGGCTGATCACCTAGATCAAGCGCATTTCACAAAGCATCAGTGGATTTCTTATAAATTACCCTATCAGCTTTAAAGCGGTTTTTCATTCGGAGTAATAAACACATGCACTTTGCTCCACTTTAATAGAATAAATCCCAATTTTTAGCCTGTGGCCCTAAAACAGATCTCAGATGAAGGCTAATCTAATTAGGCTGTGATGTTAAACTCTGAGCCGGCGTGTGTGTCCACTTAGGGATGCTGTGGAGAAGAGACTCCGTGGGAGGAAGCCTCAAAGTGAACCAGAGGGCGGCAAAACACAAATGGCTTCCCCGAAGCTGCTTCCCGTCGAGGATGGACGCAAACAGTCCGCATTGAATCCAGATGGAATTGACCGAGTTTCCGCCCGGAAGTCAGCGGGTTCCACAGGAGAGGGGCTCCCCGGGGAGGGCAGCTGTGTCCCAGTCCGCAGCAGCCGCAAGTGCCTTTCAGCACCGAGGACAGCGCCGCGCAGGGCGTGTGCTGAGGGGAAACTCTGCCCTCCAGGCGAGGAGAAAATACGAGTTTGCTGCGACGAGGAGTTGGAGACTTCATTTACTTTTATTGATGAAAACGTAAACTTGCGATTGGCCAGCCCGGAAACTAGCTGTAAAAGTGCTCATAGGCCCGTGCGCAATGGCGAATCCTGCTCCGAGACTTTGCCTGAGCTCTCCTTCATGTCGGAGGATGACCTGTCCTTCGGCGAGGCCTCAGGGACTGTGGACTACGGCTTTATCAGCGCAGTCACTTTCCTAGTGACAGGGATCTCCCTGGTGATCATCTCCTATGCTGTGCCCCGGGATGTGGAGGTGGACCGCGACAGCGTTTCGGCCAGGGAGATGGAGCGACTCGAGATGGAAAGCGCCCGGATAGGTGCCCATTTGGACCGCTGTGTGATTGCGGGGCTCTGCTTGCTGACTCTGGGTGGTGTCGTGCTCTCCACGCTGCTCATGATCTCCATGTGGAAAGGGGAGATGTACAGGAGGAAGCTTGCAGCGTACTCCAAACGCTCAGCTAAACTTTATGGCTCAATCAGCCTGAAAACAAGATCCAGTCCCAGCCACTCGTCTGCGCGCTTGTCCTTGGAGGAGGAGATGGACGTGGAGACTTTGGCTTAAGCTCTAGCTCTACGTAGAAACATTTATTTTCAAACAGATTAATGTCCGTTACGCACCTCTTATAACAGCTTAACCATGTGAGACCCAAAATGGTAAATTACTGAAAAATGCGCCACAGATGGGATGTGTGGGTTACATTTACCCTTTATAACTGCCATTTTGAGATGAGATTGAAACAGAGAAAAGTCCTAAAAGTGCTATTTTTTTTTTCTTTTTTTTACTGAGCACCTATTACCCATCCACACTGAGAAAAGCCAGCAAGGTTTTCCAGGGAATTTAAACAGCTTGCATTGATTTTTACCTGTTTTAACTCCAGGTGTAAAGGATGGGGCGATCAAAGGTACTTTATTAAGCTGGGGGGAGAATCTTGGACTAATTAACCCCATCAACATGTATATGTTGGCAACTCATTGTCTTTGCTCATGCTAGAAGGGCAGTAAGTTTTTGAATTGAGAAAGCTTCCTGGAGGGAAATTAAAAGTTTTGGTGAGTAGATTTGAGCAAAAGTTTATTAAAAAACATATCTCAAACAAATTTAAAGTAATTTGTCTTTTAATCTGTTTGGGGTTTGAATTATTATAAATATGCCACCTCTACTGCGATGGACTGGCGACCTGTCCAGGGTGTACCCCGCCTCTCGGCCATTGTCTGCTGGAGATAGGCGCCAGCACCCCTCGCGACCCCGCTCGGGACAAGCGTGTCAGATAATGGATGGATGGATGGATGGATGCTAACTCTAATTTTTGATCTAGGTTAATAGCAATACAACCATCTCACAACAACACAAGGTTTTAGCAATTTTTTTTTTCAAGGAACTGATAATCTGCTTTTTTTTTTTTTTTTATATTACAGCCCAGATTTGACTTGTTCACATCATGTATTTTTTCATGCTTTTTTCCTAATTTGAAGGTATTCTTAATGCCAAAAATGGATTAACATTGTTTTTACAAACAAATAAATGTTTCAGAAATCCCATACCATCTGCCCAACGTAATGAAAGTCATATTTAAAAAATTTAGATGTTTTTTTTGTTTGTTTGTTTGTTATTGAAACAGCTGTACGTCAAAGGTTATTTAAGAGCCATGAACTTGTCCTATCTTTATCTCCTATATTATGCTCTAAAGCTGATGCTACCTTCAGATTTGTTGGTTACAAATGGTAAGACCATGGTGGTATTTACAAAGTGCTTTCTAATCATATGTTGTCCATTGCTCTCTAGCAGTCTGTTTGTAAACACACAGTATTTCAGTTTAACTTAGTGTAATTATATAGCACTAATTTACAACATCTCACACCACAAAAGCTTTGCAGAGATAATTAAATCAAACCATGCAGACAGATTAGTTACACATTTTGTATGTAAGGAAACCTGGTTGACTGCAATGAGTCCTAGGCCAATCCAGTGGTAGGGAACAAAGCAACCTTAGAACTGAAGAAGCCTCTTTGATAAGAGGTAAAACATATTTCAAGCTTGACCATGACGTGGATGACCGAGAATCTTCACTGAAATGAGTCATTGACTCAGCAGAATTTGCTCCTCCGGGATGAGCATGTGGTCACAGCAGACATTCCCTTGCATTGTGTTGGCTCTGCAATAATCCCTCACACCAAGCATGCATGGAGCCACAATGGAGAGGAAAAATTCCCAGAAAGAAACTGCCAAGAGAACCAGGCTCATAAATGTTAAAACGGCCACCTAAAATGTATATATATATATATATATATATATATATATATATATATATATATATATATATATATATATATATATATATATATATAACCTAATTCGTACTGGTATAATTTTGTTTTTCGTCAAATTCAGTTTCTGCTGAAAAAATGCAATTTAGAAAATATTACAGTTCAGCCTAGAAGTGTGATTTTGATCAGGAAGAGTCTTATTTCAATGACCTACAATTGGAGCAACAGAGGAGAGTGCTTTTAATAAATGTAAAAACGGCCTGCCATAGACATTATTTAAAGCAATAATCTTATCCTTTGCCATCTTCCTCTTCTTTACAACTGTAGTGCTGTTTCTTTGTCTTTTAGACATCTCTTTAATCTCTCTTTCTAAAATCTCTAGTTCCAGTGGGGTGAAATAGGCACTTTCTGTTGCCTGTTGTCATAGTGACTCGTCGATTCTGCGCTCCACTGATGATGTCTTTTTAAACTTGTCAATCACGTGTTAAAATCTGAGTGGACCTACTTAGAGTTGACTGAACTAATTCATAGCAGCTGTTGTGAAACCGAAGACTCAGGGTTCCTGACTTTAAGATAGATCAATTTAGAGTTGCTGATTTGAATCTGAGTTTGTAAAACCTGCTTTGTGAAACAGACCGCTGATCAAGTCAAGGACTACATTTGGTTATACTTATAGTACTTTCAAACTCTGGGGGGTCAAGCTCAAAGCACTCAGCTTGACATCCAGGGTCTTGATAGAGGTGTTCTATTAAACAAAATCCACAATCAAAGAAAAAATAAATAAATAACTAGTGTATCTCCATACAGACTTCACTTTCACAAGAAACATTATAACAATTCACAGACACAAGATCTTGTATCACATGACGTTTTGACACCCTCAGTAAGTAATCCCAAGTAATCCCACTTCTCCTTTGAAAATTGCTTCTGATGCCTTTTTCTCAGCTAAAGTGACATTTTTATGCACAATATATCTGCAAAAGAACATTTTGTAAAAAATGACAAATGAAGGTTGTTTGTAAACAATGTGAAGCACTGAGTCTGCATTAAAATGCTGGAGTATGGAAAATTATCTCAGATCAAATGGGTCATTACTAAAATGTAATCTTTTAATAATTGGAATTGAAAAATGTGAGTTTCAGAAAAACATGGTTATGTTCACTATTACCTCACTAGTAGACCATGAAATCTCAGAACCTCAGTCCACAAATATACAACTATGTTCAGGGACCCCATAAACCTTCTATTATTTCTGCATGTAGCTTACAAATGTACATTACTTAGTCTTTTGTGCATCAGCAAAAATAACTTAAAAAAAAGAAATATAAGACACATTTAAATTAAATATTATTCAAATACAATCCAAGCAAACCACTCAGGGATTTCTGTGACCAACACTGAGCTTTTATTTATAAGAGTCATTCATATTTAATGTGAAGGTCTCCAGCAATGAAATGGCACAGGGTCACATTTCAGGAAGAATATTTTTGTCCCACGGGCAAATGAGTGAAGGAAAAGGGAGGTATGTAGAGCTGCTCCTGATTACTGTGAAGGAGGAGAAAACACATGGTACTATTCAATGAAAGTGAAAGTGATTATTTTGGTGAACCTGGCTTGATGTTTGTTCATTTTGACTCCCTATGATAATGCTGACATCCGACTGATCATTCCTGCCATTCTTTCCTGCCTTACCTTTGTAGCTGGAGACATTGCATTGCTTTACAGAAATCCAACCTTTGCTGGCTTCGCTTCATATTACAAATTAGATGTGTTTTGTGAAGATTTAAAACAACATAAACCCAAGTGTCTGTATTTTTCATTGTTGATCAACTTTTTTTGCATATTAGCCAGGTTTTTTTATCCCTTCCTTAAAGATTTAAGGGCAACTAATAACACATGAAAGAGCTGTCCTACTTTCAAAACCCTATGCTGCTGAGACTTCAAAGAGACAATTATCTGCTTAATGTGGGATTTCATTATATATAAATCCTTACGTTTGGTATGATCCGAGTGATCAAATCATAGGGGAGAAACACAGAAACTTGGACTCAGCTGTTTAGTAGGCATTAACTTACATTTTAAAATCAGCTCCCAACTTCCTTGTCCAAGATTATAATATTTAAAAGAAAAAGTAATATTTCTTTGTAATGGGAACAATTATTTGACATTATTCTCTTCACAGGGCTGTTTTGTGCAAACCTGTCTTATAAAACGTATAGAATCTGATTTCTGTATCCAGATGGCTTTTGACATCGGATGCATTTTTATGGCCCTTGGTTAGGAAAATTGTTATAAAGTTTAATTTCTTAGGCTTGTTACATACTCTGCTGGAACCAACAATTTGTTATTGTTCTTGAGGTGGCAAGAAAGAGAAAATAATTGGTTTAGCATCGGAATATGCATACTTTAAAAGAAGCTCATTTGCAGAAGTCAAATCCCCTGTAGTTCATATCTCACCTGCAAAAGACCGATATAACAAGCTTTATTTAGAACACCACAAGGTCTTTTAATTGTGTATTTGAACGTCCAGTCAATAAGAAATGAATGCCCACCGATAAAATGCACAGAATAAGCTCTGTAAAAGAATATATTATGGCCATTTACCACAGCTGGCTAATAAACATAGCATACTAGGCTTATTAGCTGAGTTTTGATGAGGTGGTAGGTGAAGCATCTAATAACACATTTTCCATATTAGTTTTCAAGGCTCATGTTATTTTAAAATAAGCAAAAGCCAGAGCTGCATTCCTGAATGTGCCTCAAGTAGCGGGCTATAGGAATCCCAGCAGGGATATATTCTCCTGTTGAAAAATATTGCTCATTGAATTAATTGAAACAGCAGGTTTGAAAATCCAGTAAAGTATATGAGATGTTTGGAAGCCTATAAATGAGGGTGTGATAACAGAGTAGCAGGGTCTCTACAGTAGTCAACATGAGCTCCTTTTAGGTCCACCAGCTTGTAACTAGTGGTGCAGATCTGATTAAAATAGAATCTTTCTTTCTTTCGCAAATCATACTTTAACAGCTTAAAGGTGAGAAACCCATAATAGAGACCACTATATAAGGTATACTGTGCCTTTCAACCCATCAACCCAGGCGATACACATCAGTCCACCAGCAAAGACAACAGGGTAAAGACAACTGATGGATGAGGGGATGAAGAGAGGGGACATAACAAATACTGATCATCTGAAACCATAAGATTGTTCTTTAGCTTGGAGTTACTAGGAAGCTCCAACAAGAACAACAGAAGCAACAAAAATTAAGATGAATAAATTTTCTAAAGAAAATAAAAAATAAAGAATCTTCTTGCTTTTTGAACCGATTATTGTGCATTGCATGTGAGGATTAAAATTGGGGGATAGGATTAATGTGTCAACTGCAAAATTACAGAATAAAATGTCGAATCGCACACTACAAGCACTAAAGATTCTAATGTGGTGTCTCTGTAAGCCTGGATCCTGTTCCTTTGATTTTCAGGGCTGCATGACCCCATTTCAATAGCTTATGTTCAGAACACCATGAGTCAGCCTCTGCTAAAGGGACACGTAGGCTGATCACTATATGCCAAATAGCTTGAGCTCAGAGAGGTGCTGTGCTTTCATGCTTTTTCTTTGCATCACTGAAAATTACGATGGCGCATAAATGCATACTGTGTATAAGTCAGCTAAGAATATATAAAAGGAGCAGGTTTTTAATGCCAAGACACTTGTCAAACTAAATGTCTTTGTACCAGCTCCATCAGGAGGAAGTAATGAGACATAATTACAGCAATAAGCTAATATCGTCATCTTCCCATTTATAGAAAATGAAAATCCAGATCATATGTGACAGATATTCCAAAAATAGTGAATTTAATTAAAAGCTCCTATTTTGCTAACAGCAATGTAAATAGCAGTTTGTGAAAAATTACGGCTTTATAT